GGCTTATGGGGATCTTAGTTCCCCAACCAGGGGTCCACCCAGGCCCCCAGCAGTGAAAGCCTGGAATCTTAACCACTGAATCGGCAGGGAATTCCCCCCGGTAAAGCTTTGCGCGTTCTCTCTCGTGTATAAGGTCCAGGGATTGGGAGCTTGAGGCCAGCTCACCGACCTCATCACACAGTGTCTGCACGGTCCTGCCCACCCCGCGGCCAGCAGGCGCTGCCCCCGCTCCCACTCCATGCCTCATCTTCAGGGCCAGAGGACCTGCCCTCCCCCGCCGCAGCACAGGTGGGAGAGGCCCCAGCCCAGTCCTCTCATTCCATGCCTGGTGAGAGCACCAGCAAATCCTCCAAACAAGGCCTGAATCCACCGCCCTCCTTGCCAAAGCCCACCACCTCTCCGCTGGCACCGCAACAGCCGGGAGGAACGCGCGGTGGGCCTTAAGAAGCACACCTCAGCTGCCACACCCCCACTTACAACTCTCTAGGAGTTTCCGCTGTGCCCAGAGCACAGTGCTACCCCCACTGCGCACGGGGCGGGCACAGCCACCCTTGGGCCCGCCTTGTGCAGGGCAGCCCCTCACCTCCTGGTGGCATGTCCCAGGCCTGGCGCTGGACCCTGCTGCTCCCCACTACCCTGACTCACCTTCCACCTTCATGATCTGGTACGTGTCCTGAACGACCTTGTATTTGGGCTCGTTCCGGAATGCATGCGCCCAGGCCTGAATCAGGTACAGGATCTTGTTTCGGACGTTTACTTCCACCTGCCTCTGTGGAGAAGGGAGGAAAGAAGATAAGAACCTTGGGAGAGGCAGGTGCCAAAGAGACATCTTGGCACGAAAAAGCAGCTGGCAAGACCCCAACACTCCGAGCAACTGGGGCTGGCAGAGGTGGGGCGGGTCCCCCAAGTGGGGCACCAGGGCCATGTAGTGACCCACTCCCCAGACCCAGGCCTACTTTAGGAAGCCCCGTCCCCAAGGACAAATCCATTGCACCTGTCTGCCCACTCAGGACCTGGACTTATCTTTAACCGCCTAGGTGAAGCTGCGCATCCCTCAGGTGGAGGCTCTCAAACCCCTACTGCCCCGTAACTACCTGCCTCTCCCCACCCCATCACTGTGCCCTACAGGACACTGACTGCCTAGCAAGCTCCTCAGCCTGTAACCCACTCTGTTGCCAGCTAAGGCCAGCCTCTGACAGGCAGAGCCAATCAGGCCTGGGCTGAGGAAGCAGATGCACGGTCGGCTGGCCCCCTTCTTCCAGTCATAGGCAGCGCGGGCAGGTGGGGGAGTGGCTCCAGAAAGTTCCCCACATACAGAGCCACCACCACCACCAAGCTAAAGCACAGACAACCACATTTCTAGAGCTCTCTCAGGAGCCTATCCACACACGATGCTCAGGATGGCGGGTCAAGGAAGCTGCTTCAAGACACCAAGCACAGCTCACGCGCCAGGGCTCCCACTCTCCCCTGTAATCGGGGTCTGGTCAGTGGGCCCCTTTCCGGTAGCCCTGCCCCTGTGAGGACTCAGACCATGTACAGTGTGAACAGGACACGATTGTGCCAGGACAAGGAGGGCGGGTTCTAACTCCTCTGCTGTCACCCAGGCCAGAGCAGGTGCTGGCCAAGTCACCAGTCAGGGCTTTGGAGAAGCCCCGCCGTCAGCTCAGCCCCAGTCGGGCTCCTGGCTGTGAGGCCCACAGGCCCCCAAAGGGCCCAGGCCACAGTGGCGGCGGAGTTGGTGCTGGGGCTTCACTCCCTGGTTGCCACCCAGGGCACCCACACCCTCAGCTCCGTGGGATGCCCCTCACCCACGGGGGGCTGGGGGGCGTGTAAAACCCACTGCCCTGGCGTCCCTGCTCTGCTGTTGCTGTTCCCTAACTCTCCCTCCACAAGCACTCATGTGCCTCCCTGCTCAGAATTCTACCCGAGCCTTTGGGGACCCCAGGCCTCCACTTACAACCTCTGCCCATGGCACACAGCTCCCTCCCCACCTTCTCCACTGCTCAGTGAGCATCCCCTGCCCTTCAAGACTCAGCTCCTGCCCCCCAGGAAGCCTTCCCAACTTTGCAGGAGGAGTGGGGTCTCCTCCACACCCCCAGATGCAGCCCCGCTGACTTCTGGGAAGGCCTGACCTCACAAGGCAGGGACCACGAACGCTCGCCTTCCAGCCCTCCAGCACCTGGCACTGTTCCCACCAGCAAAGCCCCAAGAAGCCCGTGTGGTGGCGCACCCCAGTCTGGGCCTCCCTGCTCCCCACAGAGCGCCCACCTTCAGCAGCTCCTTCAGCTCCTCCATGGTCTGCTTGTTCGCCACCTCATCATGAACCGTCTGGCCACAGTTCTTCACCACGGACTCCATGACCTGCAGGCCCCAAGGTGGGGTAGACTTAAGTCTCTGGTCAGGGCAGGAACTCCCCGTCCTGGACGGGCCCACCTCCCCACAAGAAGGCAGGCCTCAACAGGGCCCTCAGGCCACCCAGCCGGACAAGAAAGCCCGCGTTACAGCCTCTGAGGCAGGAAGCAGCCAGGGGTACACCTGCTTCTTCTAACTCTGTGTTTTATCACCAGGGACAGACACTGGAGTCAACCTCAGGGCCCACACATGTCAGCCTCAGGTGGAACAGCTGAGGCATTGCTCCCAGCCCTGCCCCACGGCCCCAGTGCCTCCACTTCTGGCGGTGTGCCCATCCCTGCTATCCCCACCAGTGCCACCTGGCGTACAGGGTCTGATTACCTCTAGGGCATACAAGGCCACGTGGGGATTCTTGTCATTGACTTTCTTCTTGATGGAGCTCACTGCATATTTTGCTCTGACAGAAAAAGGCATTGATAAAAGCAGAAAAAGAAAAAGAGAAAGAAAACAGCCTCTAAGACTGAGAAAAGCCCACCCACCATCTGGTCCCTGAGACACCCCCCAGGCAAATGTCCAGGTAACTGTGCCCTCCCAAGCTGTACAGAGAAAGTCCTTTAATCGTCCCAAGATCTCAAAAACCCCAGCACACAGACCACACAGTCCTCCACCAGGGCCTCACACGGTTGGCTTCCATCCGGGCAGGATCTTGGAAGATGAGCGGACGCCAAGCAACCCTAGTCCACGGGGTGGCCACCCCATTGCTTTTGAGGGAGCACTTACTGCGTGTCCCCCTGGCGGATCAGGTCACAGATCTGGAGGATGGACTCCCAGTCGGTCTCCAGAAGAAGTTGGCTGGTCGCTTTGTCTAAGACAGAAACTCACCATTACAGGGGCTCATCCTGCTCTGTGATTCCCCAGGTGGCCCCCCACCTCAGCAACAGGCAGGAGGGACTGCCCCCTTCCCATTTTAGACATTTGGACCAAACAGAAAACTACTGAAAATGCTCCTGACACCTGACAATAACCATGAAAGCACTGTCCTTCCTGAAAGACAGACAAACAGGTTGGAAAATAACAATGGAGAACGCTGTTGTGAGCTTTTTACGTGCCAAGTGCTGTTCCAAACATTTTTACGTGAACTCACTCAATTCTCACACAACCTTAAGAGTTAGGTGGTATTTCCACCTTCTCTGAAGACAGAGAAACTGAAACAGAGAGGTGAGGTCACTGCCTGAAGTCACGAAGCTTGCTGGGGCAAAGCCAGAATTCAACACTATACTCAGCTGTTTCTCAACAAAGAGAACTCTGCTGCCTCATCCCTCAGAGTCCCTGGTTTTTCAGAAGCTTAACCTATTTGATTAGGTCTCAGCTGAGGCATGGCTGGAGAGGCATGCAGCAGAGACCCCAGTGCTCTGTTTCACGTGTTTTGTGAGGCGCAGACAGGATCGACCCGCCAAGGATTCTCCAGCTACCACCTCTAGTCTATGTCGCTGTGGCCTCAGACAGACAGATGTGCTGCTCAGGGGTTGCTCTCCAGCCCAGCCAGTACCATCTTCCCTGGAGTTGTACAAATGGTCAACGTGGATCTGGGAGTAACTTCTGGACTAACCACTGAAGGCCTGAACAACCTCATAAGCTGAGCTCCTCGGCCTGTACGTTCAATGAGCAAGAAAGGCGCCTCATCTGAGGTCCCTCGGAAACCATATTCAAGGAACAAGGAGGGCAGGCTCGGCTTGACCATTCCAGTACCCAGAGCACCGATCCCAAACACAGAGCACACACGGTTTCATGGAGTGGTGGGGGCTCGCCCATAAAAATCGATTTTCCTTCCTAAAATCTGTGACCTCCAGGAGGCTCAGAAGGATCAGCTATCCACCCCAGAAAACAGAAGAAACGCCTTCCTAGCCCTGGGCGCTTCCGGGAGCCCAGTGGGGACACAGGGCACAGGTCTGGGTCCCTGGGGAAGCAGCGCTCCAAAGAGCTTGGCAGGACCTACAGAGGACATTGCTGGCTCCACCCTCTGGGACCCATGTATGTGTCAGAACTCCCAAATCCCATGCAACCTAGGTTTCGGTATGGAGAGTCTACTGAGATTTTACTATTTCACTGAGTCACCCGTTTTCGTGACTCAGGACGTGAGGCCTGTTCGGCCAGACGCTGGTGGTCGTTTCCCCAAGGCTCCTGGCCCGTCTCCTACGCGGACCCTCATTTACTCGGCCGGCGCCGGGGCCGCGCCCCGGACCGCCGGCCCTGCGTCGCCTGCGCGCCCGCCCAGGGCCCGGGTGGCACGGCGGTCGCCCCGGAGCGCTGGGGCCCAGGGGCTTTCGCTCCGGGGGCGGGGGCCGCGTTACCTAGGAGACGCTCGAAGGTGCCGCTGCCGCGCCCCATGGCGACCCAGGAACCCGACCTGACGCCGCAGCTCTCCCCGCTGCGAGCCGGCGCGCCCCCGACTTCCGCTTCCGCCTGCCGTCTCGAGTGCGCGCACGCGCACGTCGCTGGCCTGCTCGCGAGCCGCGGGGAGGCGGGCCTTTCCGCTCGCCCCAGACGCTGGGCGCAGATTGGACCGCGCCCACTGAGACGGTAAGCGCTGAGAACCAATGAGCAGCCCGGGGGCAAGGCCTGGCGTCGCCAGGACGCCGAGCCACGGGTGTAGAGTGGAGCGGCGAGCGGGATGTGTCTTCTGCTTGGGGCCACGGGTGTGGGGAAGACGCTGTTGGTGAAACGCTTGCAGACTATCCTTCCGCGCCGGGTCGGGTGGATGGGGCCTGGGGCGCAGGTCTGGGTTCGGGGCCTGGGGGTTCGGGGGCCGCTGGTGGCGAGCGGGGTGGGGGGCGCCCGGGCGGGGGGCGGGGCGCCCGGGGCGGGGTCCGGCCAGCGCTCCCTCCTCGGACCAGCTCGGAGACCTTGACTACCTCGCACAGCTGAGCTCCCGGGATGGGAAGGGCGACCTGGGCGATCTTCCCCCCACGCGGCCCACGGTAGGCGTCCGGCCTCTTGCAGGTTTAGGAGAAGTGGGTCCCCTTGCGGTTAGAAGAGCGCTTTGGGTTCCTTTTTTTTCTTTTTTGTAATATTTATTTATTTGGTTGTGGCAGGCGGGCTCCTTAGTTGCGGCATGCATGTGGGATCTAGTTCCCTGACCAGGGATCGAACCCAGGCCTCCTGCATTGGGAGCCCGGAGTCTTCACCACTGTGCCCCCAGGGAAGTCCCTGGGTTCCTTTAAATGGAAGCTGGGGTCTGGCGGGTCAGTGTGTTCAGTACAGACTTGAGGTGGTGTCGCCGCGGGGAGCCTGGCTCCGCCTGGACAGAGTCCCAGGGGATCCGGAGCCTCCCGCCCCTCACTACTGGTCAGACTGCATTTGCTGCTCGCCGCACAAGGCGAATCCCGCTGGTGGGCGTTGGTGCCCTGGCCACAGCCAGCCTTGAGGGTTCTGGACGCCTGGGAGCATCTTCAGGCCTCCTCCCTTACGGTTCCACCTTAGGGCCTAAACACTTGAGAAGACCTATGCTGGGGATTAGGTTGGAGTGTAAAGGGCTGGGCACGTTGCTATCCAGGAGTTCCGTGTGGGAAAGCGCTTGTGGTGGTCTCTGTGCATCCTGGTTTTTTCCACAGGTGGGTACCAACCTAACGGACATCGTGGCTCAGAGAAGGATCACCATCCGGGAGCTGGGCGGGTGCATGGGCCCCATCTGGTCCAGTTACTATGGAAACTGTCATTCTCTCCTGGTAGGTCCTGTTGTTCTCTCCTGGTAGGTGGTAGTCTTTTGAACTTCCTTTGGGGAAGTATGTCCCTATTCTAGCGTTGTCTAGTCCCCAGTTTCACTTTGTGTGGGATAGAGTTTGGTTTCCTGGGCAACTGTGCGAGTCAGGGAAACAGGGTCCAGACTAGAGTTGCTTCCTTCTGGGACCCCAGCCTGATCCCTAGGGCTCCTGAGCCCAGGCTAACGTGAAAACTCACAGAAGGCTTGCTGAGGGCAGTGTTCCTTTTCTGCAGGTAACTGTGCCATCCACTCACTGCCTTATTGTCCTGGGTGTGTTTTTACATTTTATGTTTGAATTCTATATCCCCTGGTTCGTCCCATCCTGGCAAGGCCTGTGCCCCAAATTCTAGGACCCTTCCTTGGAAAAGTAATGGCCACACAAGTAGAGACTTCCGTGTAGGTGGAAACAAATAAATAACACCGGTCCTTCTTGCACAGCTCCCTCCCCTCTGCTTCTCCCTTTCTGGAAGCCTTTCTTGCTCTTCCTGAGCCAGGCCCGTATATGCGAGGAGAGGAGGTCTGGCAGGGATAGTGTTCCATTGCAGGGGGGTCCTAATTTCCATTTACTTCTTTCCAGTTCATGGTGGACACCTCTAACCCTACCCAGCTCTCTTCATCCTGTGTGCAGCTCCTGGCTCTCCTTTCGGCAGAACAACTTGCAGAAGCATCGGTTCTGATTCTCTTCAATAAAATGTACGTGTCTGTGAGCTGAGAGGAAATGCAGGGGTGCCCCAGGGCGGAGCTCCTGTGGAGTGTAGCCAGGAGGGTGGCTCGTTAGGGAGGGGGTGCAGCGATGGCAGCCCAGTCTTGACAGGTATTGCTTTCACTCCAGTGACCTGCCGTGTTACATGACCATAGAAGAGATAAAGTCGTTAATCAGGCTCCCGGACCTCATTGCTTGTGCCAAGCAGAACATCACCACGGTAGAAATCAGTGCCCGGAAAGGCACTGGCTTGTCAGAAGTGCTGCGCTGGCTCGAGGACACCCACAGAACGAATGGTTGACTGCAGGGCCGAGAAGCGTGGCTGGCCTGCTCTGTGGCAAGAAGGCAGAAGCAAGCATTACTTGGCCTCTGGCCATCTGCTGCTTTTATAAGGGCAGGATAAATCCTAGAAGATGGGGTTCTGTGCTGAGTTGCAGTGATGGGTAAACTGAGGCACCCAGGTTATAGAATTCCTGACATCTGCCCTCTGGCTCCAGAGCTGGGAGAGGAGGACAGGCCTTCCAGGTGGCTTGTGTCCTACACCATCCTGGGATGGTTCCAGGGGATTTGTTCCCCTGCCCACCAGGAGAGCTGCTCTCTCAACTCTGATACAAGCTCCAACCTGTTGAGTTTCTGATACCTTGACTGTACAAGGAAGCTTGTGGGAAAACACCTATTGCTTGGTGCATTTGTGTCCTAGGGCCTCTGTAACAAATCGCCACAAATGGTGGCTTGCAGCAGCATAAACTTACATTCACGGTGCTGGAAGCCAGAAGTGTGGAGGCTCTGAGGGAGAATCCATTCCCTGCTTCTAGTGGCTGCTCGTGCCGCTTGGTGTCGTTGGCTTGTGGCTCGCAGGACTTGAATCTCTGCCTCTGTCTTCACGTGGTCTTCTCTCCTCTTTTTATAAGGAGGATGTAGGGCCCACCCTAAATCCAAGGTGATTTCATCTCAAGATCCACAGTTACATGTGCAAAGATCCTTCTTCCAAAGGTCACCTTTGCATGTTCCGGGGGTTACAACTTGGACGTATCTTTTGGGGCCACTATTAAACCTACTGCAGTCTAGTAAGAAATCCTCTGCTTCTGCGTGTTGTTGTGAGTTTCCTACAACAGCTTCCTCTGTCTCAGCTGGTGGTCTAGCGCATTGGGCCATCGGCCCAGGCCCTCAGCCTCCTCACGGTTTCCAGTTGGTCACTCTGCGGGGGTGAGGGGAGCTCTGTTCTACAGAGGTTTTAAATGGTGCTCCGAGAAAGCTCTGTATGTCCTGCAGGGCAGTGCGGTCTCAAGTCTTCCTTTCCCTGTTGAAGCGATAGGCCTCCCAGTTCAGTGCTGCTGCTCCCTGGGAAGGTTCTCAATTGGCTCTTGGATGTACAGGGCCGGTGCCACCTTCTCAGGCAGACCACGTAGTTGCCAGTGGTCCCCCTCCATGGTGGGTCTGTGGAGATTTCACAGGACCCACAGTGACTGGCTGGCAGATGTCCCCCAATCTCAGGGCACTGAGGAGAGTGTGGCCAGACCTTGAAGTGTCAACCATTCATGGGTCACATGCCTAGTTCATCTTTTGGCTTGATGCAGGTGTGTTTTAACAAAGCATTTTAGCATTTTCCAAATGAGGCTGGTACAGGTGGCACTGTTGAGGCCCTCCGAGGGCTTTTGGAAGGCCGGCATGGCCCCCATTGGTCTCATGGGGACCCAGGGCCCCAGCACCCCTGGGTCTCTCTAGGGCGGGAACAGTTCACACCAGCCTGCCTCGGCCACCCCTGCGGTTGTGTCTTTGCCCCAGCCACTCTGACCCCAGGGCCAGACATCCAGGCCCAGAGGGGACAGGCAGGGCTACATCCGTACTCCAGGAGATTGGCCTGAGGGGTCTGGGCTCCCGTTGCCCTGTGTCCTCGACCCGCTCCTGTTTCCCTAGGTGCTCTGAGAAGCGGCTCTCGGTTGAGTAAATGTCCTCTATGAAGAGATCCTGGAGCTGGGCAGGTGATCCTGAAGAGCCCTGAAAACAGTTTTCCCAAGACCTGCAGGACAGAGCAGCCAGTTTTGGGAGGTGGTGACTGGCTGGACGGCTCAGTCTGAGGCCATGGAACGGTGCTCTGCGGTGCCCATAACACCTGAACACGGGTGCAGCGGTGGTTTGGAGCCCTAGTGGGGACCGCTCTGTGACTGTGACCCTGGAGTGGGTGCTGGCCACCTGGAACCTGTCTTTTCCCTTCTGGGATGAAGCGAGGTTCTGAGCAGAGGCTGTCTGGGACCTGAGAATCTGGTGAGGGGCTAGGCACTCTCCCTGGAGAACATGCCACCTGCACATACTCCCCGTTCGCCCACGTTACAGGGTGAGCTTCTGAACACTGGGGTCCTGCTAGGCCCCCTAACACCACCCCGCAAGGTTGGCTATCAGAGGGGCCCATCCATCCTCAGTGTCCCCGTTCTCAGAATTGCCTACAGAGCTTGGCAACATGGTGGCTGGACGGCCCCAGAGCTGCTGACGTGGCCTGGGTGCTGCTGGGGCCTCGCCACCTGCCTTGGTGGCTCCTGGACTTGGCCATGCTCTGGCTAGCCCCAGCCCTCCTTTCCTTCTGCCACCTCCCACAGGGCCTCCTCTCCTCCCCTTCTGTGCCTTCCAATCCCCACAAGCCCCTGCTCAGTGTTTCCATCAGGTTGTCCCCCACCCCCACTCTGGTCAGCTGCGGGTAGAGAGCTCCAGGTCAGCCAGGGCTTCAGTTTCCACCAGGCCTTGCTTCAAACTGCTAATGTGCCAGAAATGGCACGTAAATTCCACCTTCCATGTCCTCCACTGAGGGTGCTGGGGATTGTGCCAGAGAGCAGGAAAAAAACAAAACGGCTCAGGAAGAGACACAGGTCGGGGGAGAGACGGACCTGGGATTTCCAGGTCCCTGCTACGAGCAAAGGCCACAAATTTCAGGAGAGACAGTTCTGAACGGCCCCATCCAGTGATGGAAATGCCCACTGGCGCTTGGAAAAGCCATTGAGCCTGCATCTCCGGGTTTCTAAGTATGGACTCCAACCATGGAGTGAATGACACCTGGGAATAATGTGCTGCTCAGATCTGCTGGGTTTTATTACCAAGAAAAAAGGGTGTTTCAACTAGGGGAGGAGACTGCCTTCCTCTGTGGCTCCTAAGCTGACATGTAGAACAGGCCACCCTGAATGACAGCCTGATGTGCAAACCAGCAGGCCACCTGTTAGTGCACCTTATAAACTGGTGTGTCTGGTGGAGCGGACACACCTGCCCCTGCTGTTGGGTTCCTCTGCTGTTCTTGGTCTGGACCTAGTGAGTGCCGGGATCTAAAAGAAGGAGCAGCAGAGCTAAGTGGCCCTAAGAGGGAGGAGCTCTGTTCCCACACACACACAGCCCGAAGCTGGGGCAAGTACTCCATCCAGCGGGAGGGAAAGCAGCAGCCGTGATACTTGCCTGCACAGCCCACTATGGACCCTCAAATTCCATGTGGATGCCACAGGGCCCTCTGAACTCAGTACTGACGTCTCAAAAGTGCTGATGAAAAAAAAAAAAAAGGGCTTCCCTGGTGGCGCAGTGGTTGAGAGTCCGCCTGCTGATGCAGGGGACGCAGGTTCGTGTCCCGGTCCGGGAAGATCCCACATGCCGCGGAGCGGCTGGGCCCATGAGCCATGGCTGCTGAGCCTGCACCTCCGGAGCCTGTGCTCTGCAACGGGAGAGGCCACAGTAGTGAGAGGCCCACATACCGCAAAGAAAAAAAAAAAAAAAAGTGCTGATACTGCCACCTGGTGTCTGTGTTCCCAGACTAGCTTCGGGGGTGCAAGAGTCCCCCAGGTATCAGGCAGGAGCAAAGCAAAGACCGCCTCCTGCTGGCCCCAGGCCCAGAGCAGGCCTGGAGCACCAGTGCCATCACGTGCAAGTTTTGTATTTTGTATAAAGTATAAAACAATATGTTTAAGATAATTCACTTGCTCACCTGTTAAAAATGAGTAAAAGAAAATAGTTTTAAAATATCAGTAAAATTAGGGGAATTTCCTGGCGGTCCAGCGGTTAGGACTCTGTGCTTTCACTGCAGAGGGCCCAGGTTCAATCTCTGGTCCGGGAAACTTAAGATCCTACAAGACACGTGGCATGGCCAAAAAAAATACATCAGTAAAATTAGATAATTTAATGAATTGTGAATTTCATTCACAAAGTGATAGCTTTTTAATATTTAGGAGTAAACTGTCAAGAAATGTAAAGGACACATACGAAGGAAACCACAAACTAGCAGCAAGGAACAGAAAAGATTTATATACACAGTGGTTCTTAACTGGGGCAGTTTGGCCAGTCTGTAAGTATTTTGGATGGTACAGCTGCAGGGTAGGGACTGTGCTACAGCATCTATATGTATCTATAAATATAGAGAGAGGGAGAAAGAGCGAATGAAATTTATTTTAAGGAACTACCTCGGGACTTCCCTGGTGGTGCAGTGGTTGGGAATCCGCCTGCCAATGCAGGGGACACAGGTTCGAGCCCTGGTCTAGGAAGATCCCGCATTCCGCAGAGCAACTAAGCCCATGTGCCACAATTACTGAGTCTGTGCTCTAGAGCCTGTGAGCCACAACTATTGAAGCCCACACGCTCTAGAGCCCGTGCTCTGCAACAAGAGAAGCCACCACAATGAGAAGCCCGTGCACTGCAACGAAGAGTAGCCCCTGCTTGAAGCAACTAGAGAAGGGCCGCGCACAGCAATGAAGACCCAATGTAACCAAAAATAAATAAATAAATAATAAGTTGGAAAAAATTTTAAAAATAAGAAAACATTTTAAAAAAGGAACTAGCTCATGTGATTTTGGAACCTGGCAAGTCCAAAATCTGCAGGATGAGCAGCAGGCTGGTGACCTGGGTTGGTGGTATATTTCCAGTCTGAAGGCCATCTAGGGCAGATTCCTTCTTGCTTTGAGGGGGAGGTCAGTCTTTTCTGTTAAGCTCTTCAACTGATTGGATGAAGCCCACCCACCTGTATTATGGAGGGTAATCTGCCCTACTCATAAGGTCTACTGATGTAAATGTTAATCTCATCTAAAAAACACCTTCACAGAAACATCTAGAATAATGTCTGTCCCATAGTGGACATGAAAGTGAGTTCCTTGGTCTGAAGAAGTGATGGTCTGCTGTCCAAACTGGTGCAATATCTTCTGTTGTGATTCTTTCATAGTATTCTGAGCATTTGCATCTACCACCAGGGCAGCAAAGCACAGTCCAGGGTTGGCGCCTCTTCATGTCAGGACCCCCTGTAGCCCCAGGCTCCTGGCATCAGTCTGACTTGCCCCCTATGCTCAGGGCCTGCCCACCAGGGCACCTGCTGTGCAGCCATCTGTGGTCTTGGTGTCTCACATTGGCAGACGGGACCGTTGTTACTGACATTTTGGGCCTCAGAGGGCGCAAGAGGACTACAGGCACCTCAGAGATACTGTGGGTTCCTGTCCAGACCACCGCAATAAAGCGAATATTGTAATAAAGTGAGCCACACAAACATTTTGGTTCCCCAGTGCATACGTTTGAAATATTGTGAAAATTACCAAAATTTGACACAGAGACATGGAAGTGAGCAAGTGCTGTTGGAAAAATGGCAACCATAAACTTGCTTGACACAGGGTTATCACAAACCTTCAATTTGTAAAAAACACATTATCTATGAAGCGTAATAAAACGAGGTCTGCCTGTATGTCTAGATTCAGCCCATCTCTGCGTTGCTGCAGTGCCCCATGTCCACAGATTTCATGGACCCAGGTGGCTATCTCACGGGAGCATGTGGGGATAGTTTGTCAGTTCCAGTCACCTTCCAAACCCGGAAAGGGGTTCTTCTGATGGACACTAATATGTCCTACTCTAATGTGCCCCTCAAATTCCCACAGTGATTTCCACAGGGCTGTGCCCCGAATGGGCATCCTTTAATAAGCCAGGTTTCCACTGCCCTCCTGCCTGACCATATAGCCAGGCCACTGGCCACTACCCATGAGTAATAACTCAAACATATGGGCTTTTACCACTGCTCAGTTCTTCCATCATTGTTAGAAAAACTGCATGTAATTCAGCCCAAACGAGCTGGTCCATTTTTACCTTTTTCAGTTAGTCTCCATTCTCTGGTCTTTATGTAGCAGCTTTCCAAACGAGATGTTGTCCATTCACTTTGGAACTGCCGTCCACAAACCAAACAGCTCTTTGTTGGTCAGTCGAGAGCTGGTGGTAGGGCACTGTCCAAGTGAAGGCAGAATCCAGCACTTCCTCATGCAGTTCCAGAGTCAGTGCTGGGGGCAAAAGAGGCTTCCTGCCTCCTACACCTCCTTGCTTTCCCCAGGCACCTTGGTCTGGTATAAACCATTTCCACTTTCATATTTATATGGAACCCTTCTGAGGACTGCCATCCCCATTAAAGTGCTTCTCTGACATCGTCCTAGACATCATAGCTTTGTAGGAGCTTTAAGATCATCTTATGTCCTTCAGTCATTGGGGTAGCTTCAGTTAATGTCAGATGGCAAGGTGGTAAACCTTGAGAGTGGTAAACCCCCCTCAAGTGGAAGTTCTCCTGTCCAAAGTCCCAGCAGCCGTCGCTGGGGGGTGCTCACAGGCTCTCACCCTCCACACAGGGCCACCACACAGAGAATCTGTCCCTGACTAGCACCCCAGCTTCTACCCCCACACTGTGTGGGCTCAGCCAACCTTACCGGTTCCCATTTAGCATGTCCTGAAAGGCAGTTACATGCCTTCTGTTTTATAAGACTAGGTGGGGGGAATGTTCCCCAGGCAGGTACAATGTCCGTCCCCATAATACAATCAGGTAAAACAGATGCAACCACTTCACACAACGCCTGTTCAAACATGCCAATTCTACACACCCTTCCCTTACTTCCGTCAACTCTTACATTCCTAACTGTGGCCTCCGGTGTTTCAGTTTTACAACACTGGGTAGGGGAAGTGTCCCCAGCCATCCCTGTAAAATCCCTGTAAATTCAGGTTGGGAGAGACAACTTCTGTACATAATACTTGCCTAAACATTCCAACTCTCATAACCCCACCAACCGTGACACTGTCACATCCTCTCAGTCTGACTGCATCCAAGTCAGGGCTTCACCAGGCTTTTGGTACCAGTCTTTGGGCTCCTGGGTCAAGGAGTCCTGGAAACTTCTCTTCTCCACCCCCTATTTTACCCACTCTTGTGCAGAAGTCCCCAGCGAGGGGTTGAGCCAAGAGACCCAGGCCTTCAATCTTTATCTTGGTTAACTGACCTAACTGTTGACCCAAGTGATTGCTGGTTGGGATTCTCAGTGTAATCTCTGCCTTCCGGCTGTTAAATGTCTCCAAACTGGGGTAAACAGAGCAGACGTGTTTGGGGCCCTTTAATGTTGGGGCTCAACATAGGGTCCCTTTGGTCTGCCCAACCTAGGTATTAAAACCTTTGTTTTAACCCCATCAGTGTCTGTTTTATTCAACCCATTTCTTTTTTTTTTTGGCCACACCACGAGGCTTCCAAGATCTTAGTTCCCTGACCAGGGATCAAACCCGTGCCCTCTGCAGTGGCAGCTCAGAGTCCTAACCACTGGACCACCACGGAATTCCCCATCCCATTTCTTTTCTTTTCTTTTTTTTTTTTTGCGGTACGCGGGCCTCTCACTATTGCGGCCTCTCCCGTTGCGGAGCACAGGCTCCAAACGCGCAGGCTCAGCGGCCACGGCTCATGGGTCCAGCTGCTCCGCTGCATATGGGATCTTCCCGGACCGGGGCACGAACCCGTGTCCCCTGCATCTGCAGGCGGACTCTCAACCACTGCGCCACCAGGGAAGCCCCCCATCCCATTTCTTAATAACCATCTAAAGGGGGGTGGGGGAAGGGGGAGGTTTGGGGTTAGCAGATGCAAACTATTATATATAGGATGGATAAACAAGGTTTTACTGTATAAGCACAGGGAACTATATTCAATATCCTGTGATAAACCATAATGGAAAAGAATATGAAAAAAAAGTGTGTGCATATAACAATCACTGTGCTATACAGCAGAAATTAACACAACATTGTAAATCAACTATACTTCAATAAAAATAAATAACCATCTAATGACTGCTATCCTGCTCATCCCTTCCTGATTCCTTTTTTCTGTCTCTTTCAATATTTGCTCTATTCATCTTCTCATAACCCTTTAAAAATTTCCACCTTGTTGGGAAGAGCCCCTTCACTCTGCCCTGGGCCTCTCTCCATTCTCTTGTTAGCTAACATACTGTTCTCTGCAATACCCTTCAGTGCAAGCTGAGATAGCAAATTCCCTAAGGCTTCCCAAATTGTTTTTCGATTTTGCAGTAAGAGGGTGCCCAAGTGAAAGGGGCTCCCTTAATCACAGCATTTACCGTGACCTGGGTAACAGGCATATTCAGCAGCTGAATATCCCAGTCATCATAAAGCCAGTCCCACTGGCTTGCATACAAAGGATACCAGTGGCTTCATCTGGGGTGTTCCACGTGGCATTTACAGGGGGAGTAATATGTTTAGATAAGAGATATACCCATATATTCATATTTCA